TATATATATATATATATATATATATATATATATTTCCTCAGAATTGCATTATATAATTTTATTTACTTTTTAATGATAAATATAAGTATGGGATTTATTATCTATACACTTTTAAGGGGATCTATCTCGGATTGAACATTAATTTCCTTGCTTACTCTTTCTTTTTTTTTCATGTCTCTATACATCTCTAAAAGTATCATACATTCGTTTGTTGGTTTTATGTAGAACGTGCTTCGTAAGCTTTTGCAATATTCACATCTACAAATGGAAGTAAGATAGAACCTTGGCTTCTCAAAACTTTGCAGCTCTCTCTTGGATCACGAAATCCAAGCAATACTATTATTTTGCGGAACTTCTGGAAGTACATAGGCATATTCAGAACTTTCTTTCGAGAGGGGTTTTTATCAATTCTGTTAATATATGAATAACAACTTTTTGCGTTAATGAATTGCTTGTTTAAATATTTTAGAGCTTGGAATATCTCCTCGTTCCTGATTTTAAATGAGAAAAGTATTAGGTTTTGTAAATTGTAACTTTAACTTTATTTTAATTGCTTTTTTTAAATTTTGGGGAAGGATTTCAACTCTTCAAATCCTTCCCTTTCTCCACTTAATGGGACACCCATGTGAAGGTATAATCTGTTAATAAAAATATTTTTCACAAAACTAATTTACGATTATGTCTAAATAAAATATTTGATATGCAAATACCGGGGCTAAAGAACGAACGTGTGCCTGCTTCCAAAAAGCTCCAATATTTATGGTGGATACCATAGACCGGACGAGACTCTCGTTCGTAATTGTCAGAATCCGGTGGAGGCATGCCAAATCTTGCGAAATGAATATGTGGAAGAACGTATGTTGCATACTTAATAAGGGAGATAGTGGCCAATAGCGCTTCAAAATTACGTGCACGATTCATCTTTTTTTAATTGCATAGTCGATTCTCTTGCTTCTGAGAGCCGTACGCGTTGAATCTTGTGGTAGCCAAAACGGCAGTCCAGTAAGGTCTAGTATATAATTTTCTTACGCGTGTATTATTAATAATTCTGTGCTTTCATATTCTATAAATGCGTTTTATTGGAATGCATTAGCAAGTTTATATTATGCAAATATTAAGCTTGCATTACATTTAGAAATTCATATTTTACATAACATCGTAATATGATTTTTAATATATCAATTTGCATAAAATAAAACTGACGCCAATTAGAAGATTAAATATAAAGATAAATATTTTATATCATACAGTTTTATCAAATTGGATATAAAATTGTGTTCTATTACTCTTTGTAGAATATTTTTTATGTATTTACTTATTATTATTCTGTTTTAGATTTTTAGTATTTTTTTTTAATAATTTAATAATTTAATAAATCAATATATCGATAAAAGACATAAATTTC